GCTGGTACGGGCGAGGACGAGTTGGACGGCAAGGAATGGACGGCAAGGAATGAGAATGGGACAGGCCGCGGCGGGCAGGATCGAGCAAGGTAGTTAGAATGTGGTCTGCTCACCGTTCAAGATGTCTCCCGGCACTCCCTGTCCATCGCGTCGACTCACGGTCCACGGTGCGGTCCATTTGCATCAGCATCGAGTGCGCGCAGCGCAAGCATCTTCCATAGCAACGGCGTGTCCCCGACGCGCGGTCTGGTCTCGACAAGGCGGCACGTTCGATGCTTCGGCATTGACGCACTCAGCGCGGAGAGGTTTGTGAGGTACCGTCGATGAGACGGTCAGGCGGTCCGTGAGCCATGGTCTGCGGCTTGCAAGGTGGAGAGCGCGGCTTGGATGCGATGCGCGGGCTGGGTACGGGCGAGGGCGAGGGCGAGTTGGATGTCAAGAGATGGACGGCAAGGGAGAAGAACGGGAGAGGCCGCGGCGGCGAGCGCATGGTCGGCGATGGAGGGTTCAGTGGCGGATCAGGGCCGGTCAGCGTGGGGATGGTGACGAGGCTTTCGTGGAGAAGGGAGGGACAGTGAGGGCGTGCTGAAACTAGCTGGAAATGAATGGAATACAACTCAGTGTGATCGAAATAAAACCGGGCTTACCTGGCCCTGTGTGCTGAAAGGATTAAGGTCGACTCCGGGGCAAAGCGTTCGCGTATGCCTCTGTAGCAATGCGATGCCTCTCCATTCCTTGCAGGGCAGTATCTCCAAGAAACTGGACGGTCGTACCTTGCCTGGATGTATCCGGCAGTCTCGTGCACACACGCCAGAGGCGACTGAGCATAGCGGGCGCAGCGCGGGGAGTGGACAGGCGCCGAGCAGATCGAACGGCTCGCAGAGGGACAGACAGAGTGCGGCGAGACAGAGCGAGCGCGTTGGGACAGGTACGCAGGCGGAGGCAGAGGATGATCGCACGCGTCATCGCGATGGGCGCTTGCACAAGACGGGCCACAACTGCCATGATCGCATCGCCGATACCACGCAGCTTGGGCCTACAACTTGGGTGGCCCAATTGGCGTCCGACAATGACGGAGATGCGGGGCACTAGCCTGAAGCGGACGTGAGATTCGCCGCATATTAAAGCCAGTGAGTCCCAGCTGTCGCATATCCCGGAACGCTGATCTCAGGATGTCTTCCGTGCAGACTTCTCGCGCACGAGTGCTCATCGCGCCGGTGTTGTATGTCGACGGGGCGAGCCCGCCTCCGTATCAGTCCGTGGACACTTGGCCAGCAAACGGGCAGGCCCCGCTTCGCAGAAGATCGCCCTCGACTCTTACCTGTACTCCTCTGCAGCCACTCTCGCCTCTGCCTGTCTCGTCCGCCGGTTCGCCTACTCATCCGACATTCACTCGCCCACGATCTCGCACTGCAGGCGACTCTTCCATCAGACCCCGACGAACATCCATACGTCCTCGATCAAGAACGCACACCGAGATGAGCATGCCAGACAGCAGCCCGCCTCCCTACTCTCCCTCGCCCGTCCAGCGCGCGAGCTCGTCCCCGCACCTGCGCGGAACACCACCACTCCAGCTCTTCACCTACTCCCATCCGCCTTCTTCCTCCTCCCTCGCATCGCAATCCCTCCATCACCGACCGCCCTCTTACTCGCCTGCCACTCGATCCGCAGACACGTCCGGGGAGGATGCGGACGACACTGCTACCTCAGACGACGGCATGATCTTCACCGTCCCCCCGCTCGGCATGTCCGGCTCCTTGCGCTTGCGCCTGCTCAAGCGCAAAACGCGAACGCACGATGGCCAGCCCGCTCGGCCGATCAGCACGTCCCATGGCGTTCCCGGGGCAGGCGAGACGGAGACGGAGAGCGAAGACTCGGTGAGTGTCGATTTCGCGTTCTCGATATGCCGTCAAAGCCAGGTTTGGCGCGGTCGATTCCTTTTGTGACAACGGTTATCGAACCGGATTTGCCTCAAAGAAGCGCCACAGATGGGTCAGTGTCTGGGGTGATCGCCGCTGCCATGGCAGTGATGGGCAATACGTTAAGCTTTCGATATTGCCATTTTTGGATAACTGATAACCGTACATTTCATGGCTCAAGGCCATCTTTGACGGTTTCGGGCACAGTGGTTTCCTTAAAACAGCACGATATGTTGGCCGTGGATTGTTGCCTGATGTGGCATCCGCCTAGCAGCGCGTCTCACATTAAGCCTCTTTGACACGGTCGGACTTGCGAGCTAGTTCCCGTACGGCGTGCTGGAGATAGCGAGCTTGAGCTTGCTTGCCGCTATCTTTTGCGTCTTCTGTCGAGCTAACTCCCGTATGGCGTGCTGGAGATAGCAGGCTTGAGCCTGCTTGCCACGTCCGTCGCAGCTTCGCCCACTATGCCCTGTACATGCATGCGTGAACGATTGCTCATGATATCTCGTCCGACAGCCCCACAACCTCCCGACATCGCGCATCATCACGTCCTCCGCCGCATCTCCCTTCTCACCCACATGGTCCATCCACCTGCTCTTCTTCTTC